CCCTCAAGGACTGCCCGCCCCTAGTGTGATTGGCCTGAGCAAACCTTTCACTCGAACTGCAAATCAGCTCTACAATGGAAGCAATGGCGAAGCGTAGAAACCCCACTTAATGTTTGGTGTTCACGGATGGACTGGTTGTATGTGCGTGTGTGTGCATGTATGGAGACTATGTTTAGGATTTGGATGGTTTCGAAGCTGCGTCGAGGTGGTTAACTGTAGGGGTGTGGCGAGGGCGGACGCGGTGGCAACCCACTCCACACGGAAGGCCTGTCAATCGATGTCCCGTGCCGAGGCAGCTCAGGCAGTCGGCGACCCTCTCAAACGCGGCCCCCTCGAGGGACGAGACCCAGTTTCAGACGTCCGACCATCTGAAAACTGGGTCGTCTGGCCACCGCTTACGTAAGACTTGTCTTGCCTCGTCCAGCCTCTTCTGATCACCTCCCGTTGACTCGGCCTCCTCTTATGTCCGCTCAGTCACACTCTCCTTTAGTCGGCTCGGTTGCCCGCCCTGCAACACTCTCCCTCTTACCTTATCCATTCATATGTGCATACATGCATATGTATACGGACACACGTGTACTTGTATTTATGTGTATAGTATTTTTTTTAATTAAAAAAAAATAAATAAATAAATTTATATATATATATAACATAGAAGAGGGCGACTGGATGGACAGTAAAGTCTAATCGACATGAAATAGTCAGTCATCACTCCGTTGTGCCTAAATTCGTTCAGACAACCGATTTTAAGAGGGTCTACTTTTATACCCTTTATCGCCCAGTCTGCCATCTACCCTTTCGACAAATTACTGCTTGCTTTTTCCCAGTCGTAATAAAGCTCGTATTGTCTGTCTGTGCGTCTGCTTGCTTTCTAGGTTCAATAGCCTCGGCCTCTCTACTCTCTGGCATGGCAACCTGTCAACCACTCCTTCCACAATTCCCATCTGGCTGGTCGAAGCGGTTGCTAGACCCGTGTCTCAATCAATCGGAGGTATTTATGCGAATAAAGTCCAAGTTCTCGTGGGCCCTTCAAGTGGTGCCGAATTTCCTGTTTTACCTTGTTGCAAAGACCCAGACTTCGATGTACCAACATTTTAATAAGATAATGCCTCCGTCCCTTGGTCTGCATAAACTTACGTAGACAGGCGAAAAATATGTTATCTTAGCAACGCTCTAACACAAAGGGCAAACACGGTCGGCATGTCTACACGAACGTGTACGTACTCGCCTGCGGATAACGGTTTGGTGTGGCTGCTCATGTTATTTTGTCCTCATTCCACTCACCTGACACTATCCACTCGTGATGCCTATTGTCCGTTTCTTTCGCTCCGTCGCTTCTGCCCTCCACACGATCTGCGAACCATTTCACCTGCTTTTTCTCCTCATTAACCCATGCATACAAACATACGTCTGTATATACCTATGTTTATATATATGTTTAGCCTTCTATCTATCCTCTGCAGTAGTCGTAATCACTCTGTCTCGTCCGAAAAGCAGTTCGATAACTCGCCTTAACCTCCTCCCTCCGTCTGGTTGGCCTCATTTCCTTTCTCTCTCTCTCTCTCTCTCTCTCTTTTCCTTTGGCCTCTTTCCTCCTAACTCTTCTTGCACCTTTTACTCTTTCAGTTGAGCCTTCTATTTCCTGCAATAAGGCCAGAAGCATTGTCTCTTTCCACTTTCTTGCCATCTCTTCTGCTTCAATCTCTCCCTTTCTCTCTTTCGTTCTTGCTTCTTTTCCGTTGCTTGTCTGTTACTGTGCTTGCGTGTGTGGGTATGTGTGTATATGTGCTTGTCTACGTGTGTATATCTGTCCGATGAGTGGACATTGTGCGTGGTGGTGGTGTAGACGCATGCAGAGGGAAGAGGTTGAATGAACGAGGGAGGGAGGGATGGAGGAAAATAGAGGTGGCCGGACCAACTAATGTTTCTACTTGGCTGACATTCTAGCAATGCTGGATAATTGGCCTAGAAAATGGAACATTAGCAATTTCACTTTTTCCTGTATATGTCACCTGGTTTTATGCAATATTGGTCACGTGGTCCTGAAATCCTTGTCTACTCTCTCCCGTTCGTACACACGCTTAAAAGCATTCATATATACATAGATATAAACACACATACATACAAACAGATACAAACATACATACATACATGCATGCAACATACAGACATACAGATAGGCATCCAACATACAAATGCACATAGAGAAGAGCATACATGCACCACGCCTCTGTCTCTCCAAGTCTCGGTCGGTCTACTCGCTTCTCCTTATCTGTCTGTGCCTTTATGTCTCATTTGCTCCCTCCGATTGCGCCCAGCTCCATGCCCTGTCCGGCATGGTTGCATGGGCCTAGGTTGAGAGTCTCTGGTACCTTAATTGTAGGCGCATGCGGCGGATGGCCTGTCTCGTTGATTAGCGCTCAAAATTCATTTCAAAAGCCTAT